GCCTTAGCACTCCAAAGTATAGCTTATTTTCGTAATCAAAATCGTTTCATAATCAAACGAAGATGAAAATATATGATCCATGAAAAACATCCATGACTTAACGACATTAGAACGACGAGTCATCTTGAGGCTGCCCGCATTTCTCATGGCCCCCCGCGCCCGCCCCAGATTTATTAAGGCAATTAAACTTGGCGCAGTTGACAGTTTTTTCTTTTGTTTCGGGCACTTTAATGAGCGCCGCGAGTCGTCGAATTAAATCGCACCGGCGCGGGCGCCCGCGGCGTCTGGTAATGCCGCGCTTCAACTTCTTTTGTAATTGAAATGCTCAAGGTGTCAGTTTGACGGAAACTTTTTTGGTGATTAGAACAACAAGGTGACGTATACAAAGTACGGCTCGAGAGCCAGGTGCTGAAAATGTAAATTGGTTGATGTAATTACTAAAATACCTTCTCTTTTATTTTTTACTAGCGGCCGCCCTCGACTTCATACGCGTGGATCCCATTTTACTCCCTTTAGGGGTGGAGTTTCGTAAAATAAAAGCGAATGCCTACGTCATAACATCTACCTGCATGCCAAATTTCAGCCCGATCCATCTAGTGGTTTGGGCTGTGCGTTGATAGATCACCATGTCAGTCAGTCAGTCACCTTTGAGTTATATGTATATTTAGATTTAGATAGATTGCTAAGTAGAAATTAATGATAAAAGTGTGCAATGCTCAGAGTAAAATGCCTACCTGGAAAACCTTGTTTTATCAGGTAATTAGTGTGTTTATCGTTAAACGATAAATGGCAAAGAGCTGACAATTAATTCAGTAAAAAAATAGCTATTTTTAGCTTTTTTATTTTGTCAAGTTCTTTTCGATAAACCACTTAGTTTTTTCCTAATTTCCTCCGCCAAAAATCCTGAGTGAAGCGTCATCAGCGCACTCGAGTTGTCGAGTCGTCGTGACGTGGTCGTGACGAGCACACCCCGAGCCGAGTCACCGCCAATCAATACGGCTCATTGTCAGGGTTACGAAACGACCTCTTTCTCATGCCAAAATAACAAATTTTATTTTGCCACCAACTTATGGCACTAATTAATGAAATCTTTAGGGCTTTGCTGTCATTTGATACAAAAATATATTAATTTGGTCACCGAAAATGTTAATGTATTTTAAACAAGCCTTGTTAATATTTCAACAGATAACCAAAGTGCTTTTTATTTGGTACTTTGATCATGTTTGATCCAAGCTTATTTAATTAATTTTACTTTTCATAATCGTATGAATATTAAAATTACGTAAAGCAAGACCAATTCCAAAGTGCTCGGAATCAGAAATAATTGAACATTAATGCATATTTCGTAGTCCTAAGTAACAGTTAACTATCCGAGTTAGCGTCGAACTTGCTTGCCCCTAATACCCAAAGGGCCGACATTCCAGCGATAGAGCACATTTAACGTTCCAAGGCACATTTTCGGTCAGCGCTACGAGTACGACAAACTTGCTAAATGTATATTTCATAATACAAGTTTCGCTGTAAGTTGTAACTATTACATTCAGCTTTGTGAACTTTTTGGGGAAATTTGACTTTGTCGAACAAATTATGTAGCAATTTTGGTATCTTAGGATAGCTTAGAGGTCTAGTTTTTTAGGAATTATTTTACCATTTTGTCATAAAACATGTCTGAAGACAGAGAAAAATGCTTTCGACTCAAGAACTATTTACCTACCTATTTGAGAGTCGTAACTTCATTACTCAATTAGCTTTATTTACTTAAAATACTTCACAAATCTAAAATAACAATAAACGTTATAGTTTATCCAAATTTAATTTGAAGCACACATTTCTTAATAAAATCAGCGCTAAGTACCTCGAGATTAGCGAACTTTAACCTTTAAGCAAACATTCCATTGAAGAAAGTAAATGAGAGTGAGTGTTACAAATTCCTGAAATTATAATTTTAATAGCCAACCTTTTAGGCTGAGTTGCACCACCTACCTTTGACAGTAACTTAGCTAAAGTTACTGTCAAAGGTAAACCTTTAGCCGGTGATTTAGTATGGATTTTTGACGTTTGTTAAAGTTAAAGTAAGACTGTGGAACCCAGCCTAGAGTATTTCTTTACTCATTCAACTGTACACTAATTTGATTGGAGATAAATCAAATGTATGAGAAGCAAATATTTCATTAAACACATCTATTTCGTGATTCTAACAATAGCAATGGCAAAAATAAGAGTCGCTCGTTGTCTACGCCCTGGTGATTCCATTACGGAGGAAATACTGAAAGAGAAATTGTTTTTAAAACACGATTATCAGTCGATTCCGCCGAATCGATACGAAGCTTAGGCATCGCTGAGCCGACTTTCCTCTTTTATTTTGGCCTCTGAATATTTTATTCTCGACGGAAACGTCAATGACTGGAATTTCCCAAAGTGAGTAATTATTAACGAAGAAGCTGTGAAACACCTTACGGTACAAGGATTTTGTAAGATTTGTAGAGGATCGAACTATCCGGAAGTTCCACTCTACTTTGGGATTAACCTTGAAGAAGATTAATAAGAATCATTTACATTGCAAAGAAGCTGAGTGCGATCGCCCTTTTTACGGCATCTCACAATGTTTTATGACTTTTAATTTAGTAATTTATTATATTACCTAAAAATATAAATTAAGAAATAATTTAGTTTACATTTATTACTTCTAGACAGAGTGAAACAGCCACTTGTGTGCTTAGATACACATAATTGGACTTGTTGACAATGAACCCAAGCAATGAACAGATAGAGGCGCTTACATGATCTTCAATTACTGTTTAATCATAGTACTTCTACAATACAAAAGTAAAGAATTAATTACAAACACAGATGTTTTTAGTTCCACGTGAATTTCAGTCTGCTACAGAAACTTTTCATCGTCCTCGCCTCACCGATTTCGTCGTGCAAACTTAAAAGATTCGGTTATTTTAGAAATTTTATAAATACGAAAAACAAAACGAATGACGATTTTTTTCTCTGTTTTCTATAATTCTGCCAATAATTTAAAAGCAATAAAGCAGAATAAAGCGTATCCAAACTTCCTGGTTCCGTTTCCCAATCCGGACTCCTCGAGGTATCGGAGCCAATCACACCACCTCGGGGTTTTAAACTGCGGCCGATATTTCACGTCTCTCGGAGCCTTTGAAGTGCAAATAATTCAGGACTTGACGCGTGCCTTCGTAAGGAGCAGCACAAATAGAACAGAAATATAAGTTAAAACTTGGTTAAATTAATGAAAAACTAAAAAGCTTTACTTGTGACCACGACGAACCATGGCCATGGTCATGACGATGAAGAAAACGTATATCTCTATTTATCTCGTACCTCTCAGAAAAGACGACTTTTTCTACTTACTTAATTCATGAATATCATCATTGTAGCAGTTTATTCCACTTCGTTCACCTGAGTGGAATTCAAAGCGACCGTTTCCGTTCCGTTCCAAGGTGAAATAAGGACACTAAAAATCCACTTTCTTCACCCAGGTGATATCACCCAGGTAAACAAAGTGGCCGGAAGACGTAGCATGGGCAGGCCTCCCACTAGGTGGACCGACTATCTGGTAAAGGTTGCGGGAGGTACCTGGATACGAGCGGCGCAGGACCGGTCTTTGTGGAAATCCTTGGGGGAGGCCTTTGTCCAGCAGTGGACATTTTTCGGCTGAAACGAACGAACGAACGAAACAAAGTGGAATAAACTCCCTAGTAGCTTATCATTATAGCCACTGCCAGCTTTAATCTTGAGATCGTCAGTTTATAGATCTTTACTATAATTTCAGTTATTGCTCGTTCATAGTAATTAGTTAGCATGGCTGTTTAATATATTCTGCGGTAGGACGAATCAAAGTTGTTGAAAGTGAAGAATGTTTCCAACCCATTGTTCGGTTACTCCACGGCAAATTGTTTTGTTTGACGCATTTTATTGTTCTAAAGTTCGCGCTGTGGAAGTTGTAAGTTACTGAGAGTTGTGTCTTGCCTCTTGTTGCTTTGTTTATTATTTTTTATTATCATTTCAGTTGAGGAAATGGAAGTCTTACTTTCATAATTATTTGATTTTTTATTAAATAAGTACAACCTACAACAAAATAATTCATCGTGAATTGAATTTGATGTTTTACTCACTTTAAATAAAATAACAGAATATCTAAAGGACAATNGCCGAATATTCGTGGCATCTCTAAAAAATACCCTAAGTAAATAAGCGTGTAGTTAACTACTGCCGTCAGAAACGAACGACGAACGATATTAATCTTTTGTATGTCTACTTTAAATTTTCGTATCGTTCACCAGCCGGTAATTTTTCACAAAAACACGTTTTGAGCTAGCACGATGTTGCTTGACCTTGCCAGATAAGTGTTTCAAAAATATGAACTCAAAAACTTCTAACAACTAATCTAATACTAAATAAGCCGTTTATTATTAGAATAAAAAATAAAACCCGGCTTCTGAATTGAGTTGAGTGCTCATTTTCTAATCAGGTATGAAATTCTCATATTAAATTCATCCTTCAGTAGAAGATAAGCACGCGCAAGCTAGAAATCTTTATTCAGAAATCGTGACATACAGACATCGTATTGAGAATTTGAGACTCAGTAAGGTTATACTTATGATTACTATCACTTCACAGCAGAGAAGAGCAGATGTATTGCGAGGCCTGTAAATGTTTTAGCCAATGGTTAGGAATCGAAATGAGCACACTGAGATCTCCATTGATTGCCAAGCATATTATTATAATCGTAGTACATTTACGTATTTATTCTAGCTATAGGGGGTTATTTTGTATTTTTGAAAGGCGAGACTATTTGAGGATTAGGAAATGTACGGATCATAGCACATGAATGTAAACACCGTTGTATGACTTGCTATCGACTATACATTATTTATTTTATAGACAATTGACCATAATAAGCTATGTATTTCATATTTCTATACTCAACTAGTAGGAAAATCCTACAACCACCATGACGAAAATCTATTATTCAAATGAAAATCCCCAGCATTGACCCGATCGAGGCGAATTCCCTTCACGATTTTATCAAGAAGTCAATTGACACGTTCCAATTTCACTTTTTAGGCGCCCCCGCGTCCGAGGCAGCGAGTAAGTCCTCACACATGACCTCTACCCGGCGCAACCGTCTCACCAAGAGAAACGCTGCCATTGTGTTAGAAAACTCCACGGTACTGCCTTTCAAGTGGCACAGACAGAACTTCCTATGCTTCTTCTGTCACAAGACTTTTAAAGATGCAAACCTGTTAAAAGAGCATACCGAAGAACACAAAACTTCCAGCATCAAATCCGCTGTTTCGTTCCTAAGGGGAGACGAGAAAATCAAAATTGATGTCACCACTCTGAATTGCACCCTTTGCGATGGCACTTTTTCAAGCCTAGAAGACGTAATAGAACATTTGACGGTTACCCACAAGAAATCGTTCCACAAAGAATGCGGGTTCGGACTGGTTCCGTACAAGCTCGTCAGTGATAACTTGAGATGCGCTATTTGCAACGAGGAGTTCCAGTATTTCATAAAACTAAACCATCATATGAACGAGCATTTCGGCAGCTACGTTTGTGAGACTTGCGGCAAGTCTTTCCTCAGCCAAGATAGACTAAGATGTCATTCTCTAAGACACGGATCCAGACATCGATGCAATTTCTGCTCGGAGTCCTTCGAATCGCAAACCCAAAAGACGAATCACGAAGCGAAAATCCACAACAAAGTTCTCACAATGAAATGCAGCTACTGCCCAGAAACGTTCGCTAGTTATTACGCTCGAAAAATCCACCACAAATCGGCGCATAACGTCGCAATGCAGGAATATAAGTGCCCGGTTTGCGGGAAGATATTTCCCATTATGAGTCGGATGAAGATTCACGTCAAACAGGTGCATATTAGAGAGAAGAATTTCGCATGTACAATGTGCGAGCTAAGATTCTTCTCCAGGACACATCTGAACAAGCATATGATCAAGCACGTGGGAGAAAGGATACATCAGTGCGAAGTGTGTTTGAAGTCTTACGCGAGGAAGCAGACGTTAAGGCATCATATGACGATACATAGCAAAGAAAAGAAGTTCACCTGTTCTTTTTGCAGCCAAGAATTCTCGCAGAATCACAGTTTGGGAAGGCATATGAGGGTGCATCACCCAATTGATACCACTTAGGATGGACAGAGTGAATATGCTATGTGTAGTTGAAGACTTTTTTCCTAATAGTTTTTAATTATTAAATAATATGCATAGATTTTATTGCGGAAATTGCTTATTTTATCAAAAATTATGATTTCGGAGAATTCGGTTAAGTCAATATTTATTCATAGAAATAATTTAGTTATTAAAAAAATCGTGTAATATTCATAAATTACTTATGTACAATATGATCCTCTTTTAGAAATATTAAACAGTTATTTTGCTAACGTTTACATTTTATTCAAACCTTTGCCATCGAATTTTAGACCGAAAACTTTAAATGTACCCTATCAGTTTGAAATTGACTCATTTTTGTTCCGTAAATTAGAAAATTTTCATAGTAGTTACATTACATTGAGGGTACATTTACAGTACAGAATTTCTTTTCAGATGCTAAATCGAGGAAATACAAGGGCTGCGAATCATCCTCGATGCGTAGACGAACGAACCTGCAAATTCTGTTCAACAACACCACCATTATACCGTTCAAATGGCGCGGGAAATACCTCTGCTTTTACTGCAGCAAAGATATATCAGAATATTCGGAATTGAGGAAACATACCAAATCTCACGGCGACTGTTCCACGAGAGACCATTCGTTGAAAGTCCTCAAAGGGGGACAGAACATGGAAATCAAAATCGACGTCTCTGATATTACGTGCGAAATATGCAACGAACCCTTTCCGTCATTCGACGAAATACTCTCCCATCTTTATGTCAAACACAAATTGGAATACGATAAGGACGTTGATATGGCTATCGAAGAATACAGACTGGTAGATCTCACTTGCCTCGTCTGTGGCGAGAAATTCGCCTACTTCGGTTATTTGGTCTCTCACGTCAACAACACCCATCCCAAAAAGTGCCTCATTTGCGATAAATGTGAGCAAAAGTTCAATAAACAACGAGATCTGTTCTCTCACATCAAAAATTACCATAGAGAAGGCGGATACCAGTGCGAAGCGTGCCCCCAAAGCTTTAGTTCCCTCAATATCTTGCGGAAACACAAAAATAATAGGCATTTGACTAGATGTAATATTTGTCATTTGAAATTGCCTTCAGCAGTTTTAAAACAGAAGCATATGGACTTAGAACACCCAGACGACGGGTCTTTAATTTGCGACAACTGCTCCAAAGAATTCCACACGAAGCAAGGCCTGAAAATGCATATACGGAAATGCAAAGCCGAAGACGAACTCTTCGACATCGAAATAAAGAAGGAAGAAGCGATGGACTACGATGAAAGTTGCGAAGAAGTGAAAAGACCCAGTGTCAAACAAATTAGGGAAAATATAGTCATAGTTATCAATATGTCTACAGCGATACCGTTTAATTTTTATAAGAATAAGTTCAACTGCTTTTATTGTTCCAAAGATTTCGCGGATTCGGACTCGATGAGAGAGCATACGGTGATGGAGCACCCAGTGTGTGATATAAAAGAAAAATGCATACGGAAATGTAGGGAATCGGTTGCGTGCGTAAAAATTGACGTGTCTTCTCTCGCGTGCAAAATCTGCTTTGAATCTATGCGAGATTTAGACAGCTTATTAGACCATTTGATTCTGAAACACGAAGCGAACTACGACAAGTCCATAACAACATGCTTGCAGCCTTACAGACTGATCAAAGACCACATGGCCTGCCCGCACTGTCCGGGAGAAGTGTTTAGGTTCTTCGGGACGTTGTTGAAACATATGAACAAGAATCATACGAATAACAATATAATATGCGTGTACTGCGGTGAAACGTTTAGACGCGACCAGAATCTAAGAGTGCACATATGGCGGCACCATAGGGACGGGCGATTCAAATGCACCATATGTGATGCAGAATGTAACATACCATCTAGGTTGTATATGCACATGGCAAAAGCCCACGGTGTAAAAGCGGCAAAATGCCCGAAATGCCCTGAGAGTTTTGCCACCCAATATCTGAGGCAGAAGCATTTGATAGAAGCACACGACTCAGGGCATAAGTGCACTTATTGCGGCAAACTGTTCACAAGGAATTCCTTCATGAGAGATCATATCAGAAGAACTCATCTGAAAGAGAAGAACGTAGAATGTTCAATATGTAGTATGAAATTCTTCAACAACATTCTTCTTAGAAGACACATGGTGAAGCATAGCGGGGAGAAGAATTTCCATTGCGACATGTGTGGCGAGAGATTCTTCTGGCGGAAAAGCCTCCGAACTCACATGGCTAGGCACAATAAGCACATACAACTGTAAATGTAGTTAGAAACATGTTATCTACGTATGATTTGAATAAATTGATGATTGCCATCTCCAAAACCTTTTATGAAGATTAATGGTTACGTTACCTTATTTTGAGTTTCGATACGATGTTAAAGGTAACAGTAGACCTTTTCTTTTCAGGTGACAAAGGACTTCTAAAGGCGCCGCGGCGTCGGGCCAACATCCAGCTACTTCTGAGTAGCACGAACGTTATACCGTTTAGGTGGAAAAACTTATTTATGTGCTTCTACTGCGGTAAACACACTAACGAGCCGTCCGAGCTAAGGAAGCACACAGAATCGCACGGTAACCCTTGCTTGCTCATGAAATTCCGCGGTACAGAAACTGCTATAAAGCTGGATATATCCAACCTGACTTGCAAGCTCTGCAAAACACAATTCCTGGCTTTAGACGATGTTATAGACCATCTAGTCGCAGAGCACGAGGTAAACTACACAAGGGAAATATTCACGTATATGCAACCGTACGATCTGGCCCGAAGCAAGTGCCCGGAATGTTCGGAGAGCTTCGTGTATTACTCTTTTCTGATTAAACACGTCGAAGAAGCGCATCCTCCGAAAAATTTCATATGCGCCTGGTGTCAGAGCGAATTTTCCTCGGAGGGTTATTTGGAAACGCACAAATTAGACGTGCACGAAGAGTACAAGACGAATAATGGTATAATGACTATAGTCAACAAGTCTACCGCGACGCCCTTCGAGGGGTATTACGATGGAAAATTCAACTGCTACAGCTGTACCGAATCGTACAAAGATTTTGGCGATCTTCGTGACCATCACTTGGCAAACCACAGCGAGTTTACCGTCGAGGAATGCTCCCAAAAACCATTAAGTTTGGAGACATCAGACTTAAAATGCCGGGAATGCTCATCGTCCCATGACGACGTCAAAACTTTCGTGGAGCATTTGAAGTCGGTTCACGAAATCGAAATATCTGAAGCCGCTGTGGAAGTGAAGCAAATAAAGATTGACAAGTCTCTGACGTTCACTTGTTGTATGTGTGACGAGTCGTTTGACAAGTTTATGCTTCTGACTCGACACTTGGAAGAGCACAGTCGTGCTATGCTATGCGACTTCTGTGGTGCACAAAATAATCGGCATAAAAAAAGTTGCAAGTCGCGCGGGAAGGCTAAAGCTAAGAAAATTCCCCAAAATGTAGAGCCTGATAGTACGGATGCCGATGAAAGTGAGGACAGCCAAAAAAGCGAAAAATTGCTGGTGCCTGAAGAAGTTGTTTGCAAGAAAAAGAAGACGAATTAGATGTAAAATTCGTCGTAGAAAGTAAAATCTGCGTATTTAGACAAAAAGGCAGATTTGACGATAAAGAATTTCGAATTTAAAAAGTCCCTTCGATCTATCCAAAAGACTGTGTTGTATTAATTTAACTATCATTTTTAACATTGACTATGTTATATTTATATTTTTATACTCTTCTATATTCTGATTGACAATTCACATCTCCCATACGTTCGTGATTAACATTTTCTATCGTCCCGATTTATTTTGTATTTTTATGAAATTTTTGGAATATATCACCAGAATATTATAATATTCATACTATCTATCTATAAATTTATGTTCGATTTGTATCTAATATACAGTATGTGTAATATCTAGTCAATACTATAAGATGTAGCGCATTTTTTAATCATTCCATTTCATAATATTCTAAGTAGGTTTGTCAGATACAATCCTCTTTTTAATAAGTATTAAATACAATGTAGGTGCCATACTAGTTTAGTTATTTATGGTAGTTCGGGAAGCATATAACTACGTTATTGATAATCTTGATGCTCAAAGAATTTTCAATGCAAAAGCCTAATGCCCAATGATAAGTAATAAATTTTCATCTTTTCAGATGAAAATGGGCCGGCAAAGGTACACAGTGCCAATAAAATCAGGAGGACGAATCTGCAAATCATATTCAACAGTACCACAATGATTCCTTTTAAATGGCGCGGCAAATACATTTGTTTTTATTGCGGAGAGCACATTAATGATTACAGCGATTTGAGACAACACACGATAGATCACGGAGACTGTACGGATAATGACAGAGCTATAAAACTAGTCAAAGCGGGCGACGCGGAAGTCAAAATCGATGTTTCGGATATCACATGCAAACTGTGTCTCGTTTCGTTCATGTATTTCGATGACATGCTAACACATTTGATGCTCGATCACCATTTGCCATACAACAAAGATGTGCCGTTAGCGTTAACCACGTATCGTCTTGTAGATCTCAAATGCGTGTTCTGCGATAGTAGCTTCAACTATTTTAATAAACTCGTGTCTCATGTTAACCTTAAACACCCAGTCAATCAACTGTACTGTCACGATTGCAATCAGAAATTTAACAAAAAAAGAGACCTCGAATCTCATATTCGCGCTCGGCATAGGTCGGAATATGTGTGTATGAAATGCCCAGTCACTTTTGATTCGAATGCTGCATTGCAAAAACATAAAGCCACTTCCCATGCCTCGCTTTGTAACGTCTGCTTCGAGCCTTTTTCTTCTGACACGGGCAGAGCCAATCACATAAAGAAAGTACATTTCGACAACGACATCCTACAATGCGGGTTTTGCCTCAAAATTTTAAGCACCAAAATAGCGTTCCTCAACCACGCTTCGAAATGTAACGTCAAAGATTCTAAAGACTACATCGAAACTGTCGACGATGATAAGAAACCTACGGTAGTTCAAATACGGAATAATATTGCTTGCATTATCAACATGTCTACTGCTCTGCCTTTTAAGTATTTCATGAATAAGTTCAGATGTTTTTATTGTGCGAAAGATTTTACGGAATGTGACGATTTGAAGGAACATACGGTTGTGGAGCACCCAATTTGTAATAGTAAACTCAAATGTATGAGACTCCGCAATAGAGAAGCCGGCGCAAAAGTAAAACTAGATGTATCTACGCTTTCCTGTAAAATGTGTTTTGAGCCAATGAAAGATTTGGACTATCTAATAGACCATTTGGTAGTAGAACACAAAGCTCAGTACGATAAGGCAGTTGACCACAACGTGCAGCCTTTTAAACTTATCAAAGACGATTTCCCTTGTCCGTTCTGCGCTGAGTCGTACAGATATTTCAGTAGCCTTCTAAAACATATCAGCGAGAACCACACGGAGAATAACGTCATATGCCCATTTTGTGGAGTTACTTTTAGGGCAGATCACAATCTGCGGTTTCATATATCGTTTAAGCACAAGACTGGAAATTTCAAATGTACCGTTTGCGATTTGAGTTTCCCGACCAAAGCACATTTGAGGGATCACTCCGGCTCGGTCCACGGGGACAAAGTGGCCCAATGTCAAGAGTGTCTAGAGAAATTTACTACGTTATACGCTGTCCAAAGACACAGGATCAACGTCCACGGTCTTGGTCACAAGTGCTCGTATTGCGGCAAATTGTTCACCAAGAAATCTTTCATGGTGAACCACGTACGACGGTTGCATCTGAAAGAGAAGAACGTGGAATGCTCCGTGTGTTTCGAAAGATTTTTCGACGCAAACGCTTTGAAAATGCACACGATCAAACACGTCGGAGAGAGGAACTTCCATTGCGATATTTGCGGGAAGAAGTTCCTTTGGAAGAAGAATCTTATAGGGCACATGTCCTCGCACATTAAGACTAATCCAGTGTAGGCTTAATCTAAAACTGTGACAAAATATAGACGCACAATTACAGCAAGAAACATTTCTTTTCAGGTGAAATCGCGCGCCCTAACGGATGGTGCGCCTCTGAGCGCCGGCGGAATAACTTGAGAATACTATTCAACTACACCACAGTGTTGCCTTTTAAGTGGAGACGCCGTTTCCAATGCTTCTACTGCAACAAAAACTATGCAGAGTACGATGGCTTCAAAAAACACACCAAATCCCATGACCCATGTAGCACCAACGATAACGCATTGAGACTCATCAGAGGGGCGCACATTGAAATTAAGATTGACGTGTCAGAAGTAACGTGTGAAATATGCAACGAACCTTTCGCAGACTGGCCGGAAATCGTCGATCATTTAATCTTTAAACACAAAATGGAATTCGATAAAACTGTAGAAATACCCATCCAGGCTTACAGGTTAGCCGATTTGAAGTGCTTGTTCTGTGAAGAGAGTTTCACGTATTTCGGTTATTTGATTACCCATGTAAACATGGCACATCCTCAGAATTGCTACATTTGTGACGATTGTGGGGTGAAGTTCAATAAAAAACGAGATTTAGCCGTCCACTTTCGGTCGTACCACCGCAAAGGGGGATATCCTTGTGACCAGTGCCCACTTGTGTTTGAAAATTTCTGCACTCGGCGTACGCACCGAAACAACGTTCACTTTAGGAAGTGTTCATGCTGCAGCCTAAGGTTTACTACACTAAGTTTGTTAAAGAAACATATATCTGCGGCACACCCTAACACTGGTAGTCTAACTTGCGAGTACTGTGCCAAATTGTGCCAATCGCTGCAAGGCTTGCGACTGCACAAAAGCAAGTGCCGAGTCAGACTGTTATCTACCACTAACGACACGGTAGACAGCTCTGTATCTACCGAGCCAAAAAAGAAGCAAAACATACAACAAATTCGTCAGAACATACACTGCATTTTGAACATGTCCACGGCTATACCTTTTAAATTCTTCTCTTCGTTCTCCTGCTTTTATTGCTCCAAGAAGTTCGTAGAATTTGACGATCTTAAACAGCACACGGTAACGGAACATCCTATCTGCGACCTCAAATCGAAATCTATAAAGAATTGCAAGGGGCAAAGGGTATGTGTCAAAGTAAATATAGCATCTCTCCAATGTAAGCTCTGCTGTCAACCAATGGAAAATTTGGACGTCCTGATTGATCATTTAATATCGGAACACAGCGCCAGTTACGACAAGTCCGTCGTAGGTTGTTTAGAGCCGTTCCGCATAATCAAAGACAACATACCCTGCCCACAATGCCCGGACCGCACTTTTAGATATTTCGGGATCTTGCAACGGCATATGAATTCGGATCACAGCAACAACAACAAAATTTGCGACTTCTGCGGTCGTACTTTCAAGAACGTCATCAATTTAAAAGTCCATATATCCCACTCTCACTCCGGCAGCGCCGAATGTAATACTTGTGGGGTGAAGTTCAAAAACCAATGGTGTCTCGCAAGGCACCGTGCTAAGTCGCACGATGTTAAAAATTACAAATGCCCCAAGTGCCCTGAATTCTTTAAATCCCAATACGACAAGCAAAAGCATTTGATAAAAGTTCACGATACCGGTCACAAGTGTGAGCATTGTGGGAAGATGTTCACGAGGAATTCGTTTATGAAAGACCACATAAGAAGGACGCATTTGAAAGAGAAGAACGTGCCGTGTAATTTGTGTGGTGAGAAATTTTTCGATAATTATCTTCTGAGGTTACACAAGGTGAAACACGACGGGGAAAGGAAATTTACCTGTAGCTTTTGTGGAAAAGCCTTCTATAGAAAGAGCAATCTGCACACGCATACGGAAATGCATAACAAATACGGGCACGCGATTGGGCTGTTACAGGACATTAAAAAATAGCGCTGTAGGGCTACTCTGAAACGCTGTTTACTTAGCTTCAAGTCTATCCGTCACCGTCTCATGTCATCTCGCTTTGCGTGAGAGGGATGGCAACATTCGAAACGGATCACGTTTTTCGGAGTAACCTCCCTGCCTATCTTTAGTCGAATATTACAGAGGTATACCGCATAACTGAGTAGGTTACGTGTGACGTAATGGAGCTGTCACAGTAGTGTCTGAAACACAGATATGGATAGATGCAGCATGTGTCAAAAATTGTATGAAGCCGAGCGTGCCACTTTTTAAACGTCATTAGTGTCATTTTAGCGAATTTTAGTGATTGCCGCAATGTAAAAATAATCGTATCATCGTACTGCATTCGCAAAGTCATCGAAATATATCGTGTGACTCGATTCGACAATTAATTAATTCCGATAAAACTGATATTTTGTTATTTATAGCTAGTCTAACTGTGGATTAAAATAAATTCTATATTATAAATTTTCTTATTATGACCATGTATGTCCATTTGGACATATCGGAATGGCACGCTTTGACGAGCAACTTGCTGTATCTACTCTAATCCATATCTGTGGTCTGAAATAATACTACATAGTTCTAATAACCCAGTATGACAGTGAGCCCTCCTATCAATGTCATCTGGAACACTTCAGTGTTGCGCCCAGCTTTATCTGATTTTTAATTTGGCAACACTAGGTTTAAAACGAGATTTATTATTATTTTTGATACATTTTAGATTGTAATTTAGTGAGTACAATTTTATTGATCTCAAAAGTCTATTATGTATGTAAAACAGGCATTTTTCAGTGCTTTTTTAAACAGGTGTTTCTTTTACTCACCCCACAGACTACGGATTTTTAGTCGGCCGAGTTTGGTCGGGCTGTTGATCAGTATAAAAAAAACTCAAAACGTATTTATTTTTGAAAGTACTTTTAAAAAGCATTTTTACACGTCCCAGTATTAACCCTACCACTGCTTCGGGACAATAAATGGGCCAGTGCTGAGAAGAAGCAGCGCAAGAAACTGTCACTATTGTCAGCTCTTTTTCAAGGGTATGAACATGTATCCAAGTGCCCATGTACGGATTTGATATCGGCCGATTCCTCATACAAATTGCAAGCCGACCCAACTATCGGCCGACTAATTAAAGTCGTCAGTCTGCGGGGTATAGTTCGTTTCATCCACTCGGACGCGCCCCAGCAATGTTTGGTCTCGGTCGCGCGGGGTGCGGGGAGTTTGATCCGAGCAATCCGTAAGGCATTATTGTAGTGTGCGTGTGCACTCGTGGATTTTAGCGTGTACCGATAACACTCAAACATTAACGGAAGAATGGTGGTGCGCGTCTTCGTGGATGAAACTTTCTATATCTTATATTTAGTAAGATACTATACAAGCTTTAAATGTGTTTGATGTTTGTTTTGGAATTAATTCAATGCGATTTATTTTTATGATTTTTGTTGCAAATCAATATGAAAACAAATGAAGTTATAGATTGTCGTAAAATGGTTTTTCATTTATATTATAATTGATCAAAAATAACTTCAATAAAGAATCTTTTGTAAGATAAATTTCAAAGTATATGTATACTGATATTTCTGTCTATTGGACAACACGTCATGAACTTAATACAAATTTTCCTTAATTCGACATTTTATGGTATGGTTTTTGTGCTAGCAGCTGCACTCAAATTTAGACATTTAGCACATGACTTCTATGTATACTATTCTATAGTCTGGTCTGCGAGCACGTAGAATTTTGTCCAATGACCCCAAGCTACCCATCCTTATCGCTCGCGCGTAATTACATTGCTGTCGCGACTGTGCGACGGGCGCCCGCAGTGAGTGTGCGAGTGCGACAGCAACATAATTACGCGCGAGCGATAAGGATGGGTAGCTTGGGGTCATTGGACAAAATTCTACGTGCTCACAGACCGGGCTGTACTAGACTTAAAGTGAAGGCCAAATCCTCGACGAGAGACTTCAGATCTCCTTCAGATTTGAATGCTCTGTCACGTCATATGTCAATGTCACCCCTCCCGTGCCGCTTCCATACCTCAGATACTGACATAGTTAAGAGCTGGACCTATAGTGGTATGTTACATAGAAGTAATGTGCATTATGGAGTAATTATATAAACTTTAAGTAGGTACTTAAAAACCCACATTGTAAATGTATTTATTACTGGTCGTATATTTATAATAATATCTCAAAAACTTTAGTTTTTATGGTCACTGGATTTCTAATGTGATATTCGTTTAGTTGTAAGTCCAATAACTATAGTTTGGTAATAATAAACGTGTTTAACATTAATAATACTTTTAATTACCGTGTACCTTTACCCCCTTTATGCAAGTTATTCACTCGTTTGAATACTTGTTTAAAGTGCCGTTTAGTATGGAAATGTCACTTTAAACTACTGTTTAACGAGTGTGTACAATTTTATTAGTTCGGGGGTTAAAGTTTCATATTTGATACATATTTAAAGGAGACTACAGAAATGTCTTGACAATGGATTTATTTAGGGTGGGAAGGGAAGTTAGGTAGGAGTACCCAGGACAACAGATTTTTTATTATTATGAACAAGTTTCTGCAAATTTATTTTCAATTAATTAAGTAATAAGAAAGTTTCGTATTTGATACACATTTGAAGCTTCAGAAGTGATCCGTAAACCTAGTCTTGATTTTTGCATAGGGTACTTATTTAGGGTAGGAAGTTAGGTACACACGGCCAACTATCCATTTCCGTTTTTGCTCTCGCTCTAATCAAATGGCGATTCTTTGCGATAGAACGAGATGACATGACTGGCAATGGGCAGTTAACACTGTTGCCGATAGTAATCACGAAACATAGATTTTAGGTTAAAAATACTGAAAGTAGCTATTGTTTCAAATAAGTAACATTCTAGAAATATTATTATGCAACGTCACAACAGTTTCTAATTAATTTATAAGATAAGATTAATTTCTAATTAATTTATAAGAAAGAAGCGTTTATTTGCCATAATTATGAAATACACATACAAGAAAGTACATAATTAAATATAAAAAGTTTAACGGCTTAGGAAAAAACTGCTCAGTTACTATGTTCCAGGATATTTAGCGATTTTTCGCTTCATATAATCTCTTACTAACTCCCCTAATGATTGTTATTTTAAAATAATCCTATGCTTAAAAATAAATTTTCAAGAATTATTGGCAAAGTGAAAACGATGCGATAGTTGACAGAAAACAGGAGAAGAAAAAGAAACGGAGAAAGCCTAAAGTAGAATTTTCTTTGCAGGTGTCAAATTCGTAACAGTGGAGGACAAGTCTAAGAAAATGGAACTTGCCCGTAAACTACTTGTAAAGCGAAGAAACGTGGAATACGTGTTGCAATACGGAAACGTAACGCCCTTTATGTGGTACAAGGGGAAATATAGGTGCTTCTACTGTACTGAACCAATGAAAGACCCCGCAGCGCTGAGAGAACACACCTCTAACCACGAAACTTCAAACCTAGAGAATGTAGTCCATTTTAGAACTAAAAACAACAGGAATAAGGATGCGGCTATTAAAATTGACGTCACGGGCATCGGCTGTAAACTCTGTGACAAACCTGTCACGAATCTGGAGGAGTTCATTCATCATTTAATCATAGCACATGACGCGGAATATGACGTGTCGGTCCCGAACTGTCTGTTGCCCTTTAAATTGGACAAAGATCAACCCACCTGTCCAACTTGTGATATGAAGTTCGTGTTCTTCGAATACCTTCTCCGTCACGCGAATAAGCACCATCTGTCTCATGACTACATTTGTGACGTTTGCGGGACCAGCTTCCAAGGAGAAAACCACTTGAAGATGCACAATAGGTACTACCACAGGCAAGGTGGTTACACCTGCGACCACTGCGGTGTCAGTTTTGCTACTTTAGCTAAGAAAATCTTGCACGAAAAGAACGTGCATCAAGTGAACTTGTCCACGTGTCCCCACTGTCCGGAGATGTTCAAGAGTCCGTATTTTAAGAAGCTGCACATGGCGAATGTTCACGGCGTCGAAGAATTAAAGATCAAGTGTCCATTTTGCCCGAAAGTCTACCCTCAGGAGAGCATCATGTCTCGTCATATGCGACGAGTCCATCTCCGAGAGAAGAATGTGGAATGCGAAGTGTGCGGAGACAAATTCTTTGGTCCATATGACGTCAAATTGCACATGGTGAAACACAATGGCGACAAGAAATTTGTTTGTAGCGAATGCGGGAAGAAATTCGCCAAGAAAAGCAACTTGAATACACACATGTTTATCCACACTGGAGAAAAGAAGTTCGTGTGTGAGCATTGTAACAAATCATTCGCTCACATAACGAATTACAAAGTCCATGTTAAGAACCGACACGAGGGATATTTTAAAGCGAATGAAGAACTTAAAGGTGATCAGTATAAAGAGGGTATACCTGTGCTAGACGAAACTGATCTTATACAAATAATAGATAAAGATGAAATGGACGCTACAGAAATCATTGAGCATTATAAGCTTTGCTAGTTGAGAATGATAATTTATAAAGTTTACTCCAATAGCTATAATAATAACTTAACTTTTACTTATGTTAATCTAATAATATGTTCATGTTATATCAGTTATTTAAATAAACAAAAGTTCACTGTATCACTTAAAATTTTAGAAATAAATATTGCTGCAATAATTTTTACTTTTATTTTCGTCACCCCGATTCGTAATTTTTAAATTCAAATTCAAACTCCGGATTTGTCTTTGTACCTAATCGCAGTGATACGGAGCCGTAAAGAAGTCAAATCTCTTTCCAGGATTGAAAAAGAAGCAACAGCCAAAAAACGGCGGATTGAAAGAGGAGATCGTACGCGAGAATCGCTTGCAACGGCTCTGTAGGGTGAGGAGCAATATCCTGCTTGTTCTCCGCTATGGGAACGTAATGCCTTTCAAGTGGCACACCAAAGGATTCAGCTGTCTCTTCTGCGCCAAACCCATGAAGGACTGCCTCGCTGTCAAAGAACATACCTCCAAACACAGCTCCTTCGACCTAGAAAACTTCATTCCAAAGCTCGTCTCCAAAGACGTACCAGTCAAAATTGATGTCACTGATCTTGCTTGCAAACTCTGCCCCCAAATCTTGATTCGGACAATCGACGAACTTGTAGCCCATATTGTCTCGATTCACGACGAAGACTACGACTACACCGCCGGCGTCTGCGTACTACCATTCTTGCTAAATAAAGAGGTGATGTCTTGCGTGCTCTGTGACAAACAGTTCGACAACTTCACTTCGATCATGTGGCATATGAATAAGGAGCATATATCCCATAGCCACATCTGCCAGATATGCGGTCTAAGCTTCATAAACATGATTCGGTTGAACAGGCATATAACCAGCAGTCATATAGGGTTTAGGTGCTCGCTTTGTAGCAAAGTTTTCGCGTCTTGCTACAAGCTGGATATCCACAAAGTCCGGTTGCACGGGCACGTGAAAAGTCATAGCTGCGATTTGTGCAGCGAATCCTTCGAGAACGGTTATCTAATGAAAGTGCATATGGGGAAAGTGCACAACGTCGCAAAGTACAGGATAAAATGTGAGTATTGCCCGAAAATTTGCACAACCAAAGGGGCAATGGCGCTTCATGTGAAGTCCGTGCATTCGGATGCGAGATTCGAGTGTGACATTTGTGATTATAAGACTGTTACAAAATCTATGATTCGACTGCATAAAAGGAAGCATTTTGGGGACAGGAACTACGCTTGTAGCGTATGTGAGAGGAAGTTTGGGAGGGCTAGCAACCTCAGTGCCCATTTTAAGGTGCACACAGGGCACATGGGCAGAGTCTGCAGGCATTGCAGACGTGGTTTTACTGACAATGAGGCGTTAGAGAGTCATAAGATGGAGGTACATTATTTTGATCAGGAGTGATGAGATATCGACCGGCGACCTCTTGAAGGTAGCAGGAAGGCGCTGGATGCAGGCCGCTGCCAACCGGCCATTATGGAAATCACTGGGTTCATCATCATCTATACAATGTTCAGCAGTGGACGTCCTATGGCTAAAATGATGATAATTATGATGAGGCATCCGTTGATTTTGGACTTATAGTACCTAAGACTTCTCTGAAAAAAAGCACAGCTTTTAGCTATTGAATGTTTTATCACTTTCTCTGAAATGTTGATTGCACTGTGATGAAAAGAGACAAAATGATTTTGTAATTATTAATTTTATTATTACCGTATAGATTGGTGACCTACATTTTAATATTTTTGAGATTTTTTAAAATGCAATTGCTAATTATAACGAACTATTACTTGCTGCATATTTATAATTTGTTCCTTACTACGTAACAATGTTATTTATTTTAATTATATTCTTACACTAGCTTTCCGCCCGCGGCTTCGCCCGCGTGGAATTTTGTCTGTCACAGAAAAACTTTATCGCCCGCGTCCCTGTTTCAAAAACCGGGATAAAAACTATCCTATGTTCTTTCCCGGGACTCAAACTATCTCTATGCCAAATTTCATCAAAATCGGTTGCGAGGTTTAAGCGGGAAAGCGTAACAGACAGACAGACAGACAGACAGAGTTACTTTCGCATTTATAATATTAAGTTGGGATTATCATAATCTCATGTGTAGATTGCGTATGAATTCTATTATTATTCTGTCTAATGCCTTCAAATGTGCCTTTATTTCCCTGTATAATTCAATTATTAGTTATAAATCAATTATTAAATAGACGTGACAAAATAATGCTTTTTTATGTTTTGTTTTTGAATACCTATAGATTATATCATGCAAATTATCACAGGACAGAAAATATAAGTGAGATTGAATTCAGTTTTATGATTGAGTTTAAATAGAGTTTTGGGTTTGTTTATATGACTTCATTGAGTAGCTTAATCTTCCTCCTCTTTAGATATTCTAACTACCATTCGTTAAGTAAGCAAGGTTTATAATGAAAGAGTTAAAAAAACCCATAATGAAATCTAAACACTAGCGTATTTCGAAACAATCTACAAACTTTACAACTTAGGCAGTTTTTAGGAAGTGTCCAAACTCAAATGACCAGAATATTACCAATTTAACTTACTTTGAACGTATTTTTACTTAGAATATCTATGCCATTATAATTTGAATAAACCGCATTTAAAGACACACAATTCTTTGCATTGCATGACTCTGGCTACCTCTGTTTATAGACCAGCATAAAGACTCACGTGTTTTCCTTTCAGGAGAACTTAGAGGTGGTCAGAGGTCATCCAAAAAGCCTACAGCGCCCCAAAAAACGGAAGACATCTTCGATGCCCCAGTAGTGCCAACCAAACCGGCTCTGACAGCTAAAGATAAGAGAAAAATCATGCGCGAGAATGTTCTGCAAGTTTTAATAAAATCAACAGTCATGCCCTTTAGATGGCTGAAGAGTTCGTACAGGTGCTTCTACTGCTATGACATTTTCCAAGACGCGACGGACTTGAAAGGGCATCAACAGTTGCACATGGGAGACGAGGCTAAGATCCAAGCCATGAACAATTACTGGGAACCAGTAGTGTACGTGGATATATCGAATCTAACGTGCAAACTTTGCCCGGAAAGGATATTGGATTTGTACGATCTGATTGACCACCTCATTGGTCAACACGGAGTGATGTACAATAAGGATGTAGGGATTTGTATGGTGGCGTTCAAACTGGATAATTTCAATGTCAGTTGCCTTGCGTGTGGGGCCAGCTTCTACACATTCGGGCCTCTATTGCATCATACAAATAAAGACCATAAAGGCACATCGGCTATACTCTGCGACGTCTGCGGACAGCATTTCAAAGACGTGAACCTCCTTCGTGGGCATTTCAAAACAGTTCACGAGAATACCGGTCTTCTATGCCCGGAGTGTGGGGAGAAATTCGAAACCAGATCTAAACTAAAGACTCATCAAAAGAACCAGCATGAGATCGACAAGAAATTCAAGTGCATGGTGTGTTCTTTGACCTTTCAAAGTCACTATAAAAGATCCAGGCATATGGCTGCAGAACATAAGAACAGGCAGGAGATAAAATGCCTTCACTGTCCGAAGACTTTCGTCTTTCGCAGCATGATGATGACTCACGTTAGAGACACCCATTTAAAAGTGAGGAACTACATCTGCAGCGTGTGTGGGTGGAAAGCTTTCAATAGCAACAGGTTAAAAAACCACATGTACAAGCATAGCGGCGAAAAGAATTTCAAGTGTGATGGGTGTGATAAAGCATTTACTACTAAGAAGATCATGCGAGCGCATTTTGTCCGTATTCATAAAAATGCTCCTCCTGTGATGCAATACGACCCAATTAATCCTTATGGACATTAAGTGTCATTCCTAGTCAAATTCTTTTAAAGATAAAAGATTATTTACATACAGCGTTAATACTATCTTTAGTAAATAAAAATTATACTGTATTTTAGCATGTAAGTTCTGAAGATATTATTATCTAAGATGAACGATTTAAAGAAGTTTCAACTTAATAACTGTTTCAAATATGACTCAAATACAACTTTAAACAATACAAATACCTTATGATCTCAAACATGTTTCATTTGACACATTACCCGTTAACTGTTTATTTTAATTGCAAAAAGAAGAGGCAACAAAATACACCACAAAGCTTTAAGAAGACCATATTTCCTTTCAGGCAGGACAGGCATCAGCAAGAGACGAGACGAAAGCGATGTACCAGAACTGAAGAGAGCTACAAAACAAAGCAAAATGTCCATCATGAGGCAAAATGTCTTGGAAGTGCTTCTGAAGTCGACCGTGCTCCCTTTCAGATGGCTCAAGAGTTCGTTCAGATGTTTTTACTGTTACGACGTCTTTCAAGAACCCAAAGACCTTAAAGCTCACCAGATCATACACACAAGTGATGACGACAAGGTTAAAGCAATGAAAAATTATTGGGAGACCACAGTTTACGTTGACATCTCGAATCTAGCATGCAAGCTATGTTCAACATCTATGACAGACTTCTACAAACTCATCGACCATTTGATGGAGGTGCATAACATACAGTTTAATAAGGATATAGGGATTTGCATGAGTCCGTTTCGGCTTAACCACATTTCGGTACAATGCGTGCAATGTGACAGAGAGTGCAGAACCTTCGGCCATTTGTTGGTGCACACGAACAAGGAACATAAAGGCTGTTCACTGGTGCTTTGTGAAGTCTGCGGGCAACACTTTAAAAATAATCAACATTTGCGCTACCACATTAATCAAGAGCACACAAACAGTTCGGTTCTATGTCCGTTATGTGGAGAAGAAATCCTCACTGCGAATAGAATGAGAACTCACATGCAAAATGTCCACAACAAGAGGTACAAGTGTGGAATGTGCCCGGAGCTTTTCGATACGCATTACAAAAGGTCGCGTCATGTCATGATGGTGCACAAAGCTAGAGAAGAGGTGAAGTGTCAGCATTGCCCGAAAACTTTTGTGTTCAGAAGCACGATGATGAGACACGTCAGAGAAACGCATCTGCAGGAAAGAAATGCTATATGCGGGATATGTGGATGGAGAGCTTTCGGGGCAGGCAGGCTGCAAAGGCACATGATGAAACACAGCAACGAAAGAAACTTCAAGTGTCCTTCGTGCGACAAGGCGTTCAAAACCAAGAAAACTATGAAGCAGCACTACACTAATATACATGAAAAAGCTCCTAGAGTTCATGATCTGATGCCTGGTATATCCGTCGATGCATTAGTTCCGAATTCCATTTGATGATGTTTGTGTTATCTTTCAAATAAAAGCGTAATTCAATGTGTGGACTGTTTATTTCCTACCATGCATGCGCGTCCCAGTTGAGCTCATAGATGTAGAATAAATGAGCGTAAAATTACAAATCAGGAATTCTTTACAGGGAAGACGAAACGAAAACTGAAGTCTTCAAAAGTGGCGACGAGGTCTAAAGAGAGCAAACAGTTGCAACTAAGGAAATGGCTGCTTACGATCCTACAGAACACGACGGCAATGCCTTTCCGTGTGTACGGGAATAAGTACCGATGTTTCTACTGCACCTCAAGTTTCAGCCATTCGGTAGAGTTGAGGGAACACACGAAGACCCACGAAAACGTTAACTTAGTTAAAACTATCAGAACTAGTGTCACGACCCTAGTTGCGAAACTAGATATAGCCGAAATGAGTTGCAAACTATGCTCTCAAGAATTAAAAGATTTGGGGCAGTTATTAGAACATCTACAGAATTACCACGAAGTAAAGTGTAGCCTTGAAGCGTCAGATTACATATTGTGCTTCAAATTATCAGACGAAGATCTCAGATGTTTGATATGCGATGAGAGCTTCTCATACTTTGGCCCGTTACTGCTCCACACCCATAGACTGCACAACCAAAGGCCGTACATTTGCGAAATATGTGGCGTCAGTTTTGGCGCTAAGAATGCTTTAGAAAAACACTCACAAAGCGTACATCCAACGAAGAGTTACCAGTGTCGACATTGCGAGAAAACATTCACTGCGGTCCACCGTAGGGACAACCACGAAAAACGTATCCACGATGAAAGCGAACGGAAATGCCATATCTGCTCTGAAGTTCTAGGAAGTATTTATATTAGGGACACGCATTTAGCTACAGTGCACAATATTTGGAAATCAGAATTTAAATGTGAAGAGTGTTCACAGATGTTTAGGCACAAATATCTTCTGGTCACTCACAAAAAGAGGGTTCATTTGAAAGAGAAGAATATGACGTGTGAAGTGTGTGGAGACAAGTTCTTCGACAAACGTCTGTTGAAGTTACACATGGTGCGGCATAGCGACACCAAACCGTTCAAGTGTGAGACGTGCCAGAAGAGATTCCTAAGAAAACGGGGGCTCGAAATTCATACTAGAATACATACGAACGATAGACGGTATGCTTGCAAACATTGCTCTAAGGCCTTCGTTCAAATGGCCAGTCTGAAATGTCATATGCGGCTGCACCACGAAAACTCTTAGAATTGACAGGTCCGTTACATTTTTAGGAGATTCTTAATTTTTTTTAACCCAAATCTTGAAAGGCTTAACATATTTTAAGTAGTTGACAATGCACAAACAGATTTTCATGTACGAAGAATTATGCAGTTTCTAAGAAGAAAATTTTCCTTTCAGGAAGAAAAGGTGTTGTCAAGAAAAGGGAACGTATTTGTAAAGAAGACTATGTTCCCACGAAATCTAGAGCCACTATCAAAGAGGAAGGCCCCGGCGATCCGGACGACCGGACCAAAATAATGAGGCAAAACGTCATTCAAGTACTGAAGAATTCAACCGTGATGCCGTTCAGATGGCTTAAGAGTTCCTACCGCTGTTTCTACTGTTACGAGGTCTTCGAAGAGCCGAAAGACTTAAAAAATCATCAAGAAGTTCACGCTACCGACGACGACAAACTTAAATGCATGGAAAACTACTGGGAAACCACAGTTCACGTGGACGTCTCCAGTATATCCTGCAAACTGTGTCCAAAAACTATGAGCGATTTCTTCGAATTGATCGACCATTTGATAACAGTCCACGAAATATCTTTCAATAAGGATATTGGGAGTTGCATGAGTCCGTACAAACTGAATAACATTTCAGTGCAATGCGCGTTTTGTAGTCAGGATTACCGGACCTTTGGCCATTTGTTGCTGCACATGAATAATGAGCATAAAGGCTTCTCCCAGCTACTATGCGACGTGTGCGGTCGGCATTGTAGAAACAAAAATCACTTGAGAGAGCATAAGAAAGAGCACATCAACAGATCCGTCACATGTTCTATTTGTGGAGAGACGTTGAGCAGCTACCACAAACTCAGACCCCATATGCAGAACGTCCATGATAAGAAATACAAGTGCGCAGCATGTCCTGAGCTATTTGAGACACATTATAAAAGATCCTTACACATGATGACGGTTCACAAGAGTCGGGAAGAGATCAAGTGCCAGTTCTGTCCGAAAACATTCGTTTTTAGGAGCACGATGATGACGCATCTGAGGATAACGCATTTGCAAGAAAAGAATACGATTTGCGGAGTGTGTGGATGGAGGACTGTAGGAAAAAGTAAATTAAAGAGACACATGTCGAAGCATAGCAACGAGAAGAATTTCAAGTGTGCGGTTTGCGAAAAAGCGTTCAAAACAAAGAAGAATATGGTGCTCCACCACAGAAATGTTCATGAGAAGGAGATGCAAATGCCTCACGGATTTGGCAGTCTTCCGCCAGAGATTCGGCCGCCAATTGTCTAAGAAGCGCTTGTGTAATAAGCAATGAATTTCATCAATCTAATGAAGCTAATTACTTGTTACTACCATGACGAGAACCCAACGGTGAAGGTGTCAGACTGGCCGACTCGAAATCCGAGAAACGCGGATTCGATCCCCACCACTGCTGGACTATAGTGGTGATGTGGTGAACCCCCTCGTAACACATACATTAAGTACATTATTTCTGCATCTCACTTAACACCAGGTGCGATTGCTGTCAAATACCTACCTTGTCTTGCATAAAAAAAAGTACGTGGTGTTATCGGGACTATTAGTCATTTGTGCAATACAAATTACTAATATTCTTTACGTGGCAGGCAACTTAGCAGATATTAAGCAATACATCTGAGCTTAGCAATGTACCTATAGTCCCTAAGAGCCAAATCACACGAGACAGGCGTCGTCTTACATAGAAATATCTGTAACGGGCACACTAGAGGTGAGATATGGCGAAATCGTGTGCTTTGGCTCTAACCTAATCAAACCCATCTCAAGATTTGCTAAAAATGATGTCTGAAGTTAAATTAATTAGCAAAATACTCATAATAATTAAATGATAGTGCAAATTGTTGCCTCTCGTGATGCCGTTAAGGTTCAACTGAGTTTCCGTCTAAAAATAGGATAATAACCGAAAAGTATTAATTTTTGTATGTTAGTAGAACATATTATAATTCAGCCTACAAAGCACAAATTATTATATTTTAGTGCTGAGAATAAATAATAGTGTAGTACATAATGTAAGAAGTTAATATCTACAGTTAAATTAATAAATGTATGTCAATCCACAGATCGTTGTGAAAATCCTTAGTGGTTGAATCGCTACTGCTATACCTACGTCATTTGGTTGAAATAGAACAGAAAAAGTCATGCGATTGGTGTAAATATTGTAATAATCAATCGCAGGTTTCAATCCATTAATTTATTTATCAAGTTTTAGGTTTTATTTATATGAGGTCCGTATTACAATTTTATCAACGCTAGAAACTCGATTCAATCTCACTCATATACCTACCTACTTAGATTATCGCCCGTATTCACAAACAACGCTTGCTTAGTTGAAGCAGCAAATCGAACGCACAGCGTTGAATAGAGCTCTGTGATTGGTTCTTGTGTCACCTTGTGCGTCCACGCGCACTGTGAGACCTCGGCGGCGGAGGCGTTAATCCTGTGATTAGTCTAAATATTAAAATGTTATAAATAAGTTAATATTAGTAGGTACTATCTCTTAGTTATCTCCAATACAATTAAACTCTTAATTAAATAAGGCTATTAAAATAATAAAATTGTAATTACATAAATACATTATATGAATAAAGAAGTTCAAATAATTTATGGTTTTTACTTTCATTAACTTTCAACCTTGCAGGTAGTCTATGGCTTCCGTTTAAATCTTTCACTAAAAGTATTTCAAAATATGTACTACAGACATTCAGTTATATTTCCTAAAAATAAACTTCAATACTTTAGTACTACCACAAGATTAATGTACCTATTACTCGTATACCTTAGTTACTACACTATTTGGTTATACGCGAACCTAGGTAAAATTTACTACTCATTCGGAATTTTTCAATTCCTCCAAAATAATATAAAACAAGTGACGACAAATTTTCTTTTCCAGACAATCGGATGTTAAAACGCCAGAAGAAGCTTGATTTGGCCCAACTTATCACTACCATCGTCACCAAGTCAACCCTGATGCCCTTCAGGTGGCACGGCGGGAAATACATGTGCTTTTATTGCTGCACGCATTTTGTAGACAGTTCGAAACTCAGAGAGCATCAAGAAACCCACCCTGATGTGGATATAAACGAAATTTTATTAAGGACAGTTTACAAAGAATCGTTATTTCGAATCAAGCTAGACGTAACCGAAATCTGGTGCACGGAATGTCCAGAGGAACTGCAGTCTTTCGAAGAATACATCGAACACTTGTCGACCCACCACGACATTACTTTCGAGAAAGCCATCATATCTCGGTGCGAGCTCTTCAAACTGACGGATGAAGTTCTAAACTGCCTACAATGCGAGGAGACCTTCAACCACTTCGGTCACCTTTTAAACCATATTCATCAAAGTCACATAGACGCGGATAAGCATAAATTCTTGTGCGAGATCTGTGGGCAAGGATTCGCTGACAAATGGGTGGTTGCCACGCACATTAAACACGTTCACCGGTTACAGCAGTGCAAATACTGTCCAGAGGTATTCCAGACCCAGTACGCGATGGACAAACACGTCGGCACCGTCCATAAGACTGAGAAATTCAAATGTCCTATGTGTCCAAAGATTTTGCCTACAAGGTACATGAAGAAGCGTCATCTAGCCATGGCCCACGATTGCAAGAGCGCTCAGCTTACTTGTGATCTTTGCGGAGTTGTTTTTACAAGGAACAACAAACTTGTGATGCATAAAAAGAGGGTTCATTTCAAGGAGAAGAACGTGGCGTGCGATGTCTGTGGAGGCTTCTTTTTCGATGCGGACTCGTTGAAGAAACACCAGATAAGTCACAGCCAGGACAAACCGTTCCAATGTGATATATGCCCGAAGAGTTTTAAGAGGAAGAGTGGGCTAGCTATGCATATCTCTCAATGTCATGCGACTGAAGAGAAGGCGGATAATGAAGATGTCTAACATCGTGGAATTGACGTTTTAATGAAGTTGCTTTTCAGTATCTTAAAGATACTTATTTATTGGTGTTTAGGGTTTACATGTTACGCAGAACTGACGGCCGATAGGGCAGCAAGATTCTAGAGTGGAGGCCACGTGCCGGAAAGCTCAGCGTAGGACGTCCACCCACAAGGTAGACAGATAAACATTATAAAGGTAGCAGGAAGGCGCTGGATGCAGGCCACTACCAACCGGTCATCATGGAAGTCATTGGGGGAGGCCTATGTTCAGCTGTTCAGCAGTGGACGTCCTATGGCTAAAATGATAATGATGATTAAGGCTTCAAAAAATGTTCCTTTGCCATCAATCTACATCTACAGCATTCGAACCGTTAGTAATTTTTCTTATCCAGATTTAAAGGAAAACAGGGATCAAAAGTGCGCTCTAAGAGAAAAGTCAAGACACTGTTTCAGACATAAGTTAGAATAAGATGCAAATCAGGATTTTAAAAATACCTACCAAACACTATATTTTTTACGGATAATGTACGTATACCTTAAGTTTTTATGCTTGTGTGTGGCGTGTGTACTCATTGTAATAAATAAAGTAAAAATTGAAAAATGAATGTTTTTAGTTATTTCAATTTGCAACTACTAAGGCTTTGGATTAAGAGGCAAACGTATTCAACGTAATATAATAAAAAAAATTGGTAGATATTATAAGTGAGCGTCGTGACTAGACGTGTGGTGTGGCCGCTAATGAAAAGTTACCTAGACAGACATTAGCAAAGGACGGTGTTAACCTTCCTCGTCTGAATCAAAGACACTAATATATGAAACAAACTTCATTGAATGACATTTATTGGCATAGTAAAAAAAACTTCGACACCGCGATGTAGAAACTACACAATTTACCGTAACGCCATCTAGTTACTTAACTGTGAATCACTACATTCAGAGGCTTGTACAGACGGAGTGACACGTGTTATCTGTTCCAGAAACTGGATTCCGGCTGAGTCTCCCCTCGCTCGACGGCGAGCGAACAGCGCAGTGGGCTCTCAGGAACCTGGTCGCTGTCATCGTCCAGCACTCCACGATCATGCCCTTCAGATGGTCCTCCAATAAGTTCATGTGCTTCTACTGCTGCTGCCCTTTCCACGAAGTGACCAAACTTAAATCTCACACCCTTATAGAACACGAAAACGCAAAGCTGCAAACCATTTTGATGCTAGCCAAAACCAGCAGTCGCCTAAAGTTAGACGTTTCGGAAATATCTTGCAGGAAATGTCCCAAAAGTCTTCGCAATTTGGACGAATTTCTTGACCACGCTGCATCGGCGCATGATCTGGAATTCAATAGGGAAAGCAGCAAAACGTTTCTGTGCTTCAAACTGTCTGATGAAGGGATGAGTTGCTTGGACTGCGATGAACGGTTCCAATTCTTCGGCACTCTTTTGACACACACGCACAAATACCACAATAAATGTAACTCGTTTTTGTGCGAAATCTGCGGGCAAGGTTTCGTATCACAAGCCCATGTAGCTCATCATTTAAAAAAGTGCCATTCTGAGGGAGAATGCGTGAAATGTCAGAAGAAATTCCGGACGCAATATGCTTTGACACTCCACAACGAAAAGGAGCATCGAACTTGGAAGTGCCCAAAATGCACTGAAGTGTTAGGAAGTAGATATTTGAGGAAACGTCATATGGCGCTGGCGCATGACGTTGGCAACAATATTTTTAAGTGCGACGAGTGCGAAAAGATATTTGTGTTGAGACACAAGCTTATTGAGCACAAAGCGAGGATCCATTTGAAGGAGAAGAAGATGGAATGTCCTATCTGTGGATTTAAGGTCTTCAATAAAGAGTTGCTAAAACGTCACATGGTCAGGCATGATGATACAAGGCCGTTTGAGTGTGATATATGCAAGAAGACGTTCCAAAGAAAGAAAACCTTGGATTTCCATCGGCGGATCCACACGAACGACAAGCGATACGTTTGCAAAGACTGCGGCAAGTCGTTCGTGCAAGTGGCCAGCTTGAAGTTGCACATTAAAGTGCATCATACCAGCAATGAAACTGCTTCCTGGAACTAAACATTATTTTGATTTCATATTGAGAGTTAAAGAAACATAAGGTAAAAATTGTTCGCTGAAATAAGTCTTCTGCTAAAAGGAGGATGTTGGCGGCTGCAACTTTATTAAAAAGGCTAAGCTCGAATAGTTTATTTATGTACGAGTATAGTAGTTATTTGGTATCATGGCATACCAGCCATACCGTTTAGTTAGTCTTTTTAGACTATAATTCAGTCTTGCGCCTCTAAAAATGTAATGTGACAAGGCTCATGGCCACTCATGGGTGGATATAACCCCGCCAAACTCCGCACCTCGCTGGAATGCGTCTCCCCGTCCGTACCAGAGCGTCGATGTGACGTCACGGCTTCCAGGTGCGCAGTTAGCTCAAACGGGTTGTAAGTATTGCAAACATATTTCAGTATTCTTTGTTGACTTTTACATAAAGCAGTAAGATGGAGGTTGTTGTTTTGATCAAATAAATTATTTAATTTTCAATCGTCAGCATATTATTTTAAGTCAACCTGGGACTGGACGGATTTCACTGGCGGCCATATTGTGGATACTGACTACACACACAGGAGTTGCAGAGGTGGGATAACCTGATAAAAAACCATTAGCGGAACCAACCATTGGCCTAGTGCTGCAATGTTTAAATGTAGGTAAGTGCGTAAGTATGATAAAAATAGAGATGTGGGTGTCTCGGGTTCGATTCCCGGTTAGATCACTTCAGCAAAATAACTTTATTATGTTTATCAGGGTCTTTATTAACCTGCTAAAGCGCACTCGACGACACAAGATTATAAACATAGTTTTACTCGTATTATACTTTTTATAGTACTCGTAAAAAAACACTAGAAACAGGTCGCAGAATAAAGATTTTCCTACAGCTATCTCGACTTTGTACTAATTAAACAAGTTTTTTTGTAGACTGTAGGTACCTACATTTTTGTAATACTAATATTATAAATGCGAAAGTAAAACTGTCTGTGTCGCTTTCACGCCTAAACCACTGAACCGATTTTGATGAAAATTGGTAGATTAGAGTAGAAAGATAGTTTGAGTCCCGGGAAAGGACATAGGATAGTTTTTATACCGGTTTTTGAAACAGGGACGCGATAAAGTTTTTCTGTCACAGACAAAATTCCACCCGGGGGAAAGCTAGTAGGACAATAAATAAAAAACAAATTACCCATCACTCACTCTTTATTATCACAATACATTATAAAATATATAATTTACAATAAAAACCTACTATTTACAGTTTTTTACATGTCTTATTACAATAACACTTATCTTGTTAAATAAGCGTTGAACAGTCGCCAGTACTTCTTGCAGAATAGCATCTATTGCAACTTACATAAGATGCATATTAGCTTGATGTGCTATGGACTATGCATTACGTATGAAAGACGAATTTTTTTTTTTTTTTTTAAAGACTTTATTGCACACACAACAATGTTCTGTACAAAAAGGCGAGCTTAATGCCATACGTCATTCTTTAACGAAAAGGCTACGCATATTCTTAGACGTGGATACAAAACTAGTCCGTATTTCTAAAGCATTAGAATACAAAGTCGCAATCACACAAATTGTCTAGAAATTCCTATGTAAACCTATGTAAAATAGAATTTGTGTTCTAAAACAAAAATCTAAAGAAATATTATCAAGCAAATATAATGTGTATGGCTTTCAGTAACAAAAGAAGTCTATGAATATGAACTACCGCGATCCAATGTACCGCCAACGCCATCTATCGGTACAGCAGGGAACTACTTGTTACGAGTTACCGCGCTCACGGCAGCAGACGTTCTTATAAGTAAGTATAAGTAATTATACCTATAATATGTAAATTATTGCTATAAGATTATTCTAGATCGTTTCATCCACGAAAACGCGCCCCACCACTTTTTGGTCGAGGAAAGCGCAGGATGCAGGGAGTTTGATCCGAGCAATCAGAGCGTCACTATTGTAGTGTGCGTGTGCACTCATGGATATTATCAAATTGAACACGCACACTACAATAATGACGCTCGGATTGCTCGGATCAAACTCCCCGCACCCCGCGCTTCCCTCGACCAGAAATTGGTGGGGCGCGTCTTCGTGGATGAATCGATCTAAAATATTACACATTATGTGATGATACACTTATAAAGTATGTATGTAATATGGAAGAAGATATAAGTGTGAAGGTTTGAGCTATATGCTAGTAATAAATAAGATAATAAAAAACTATTTACATTGAAGTATTACAGCTTCTTATCTATCGAAGTTTGACCTTAAACGAAGGCCGTAGGAAGTTATTGATTGTACAATACCGGAGCTTAAAGACAGACAATATTATACACTCGCGAGCAAAAGTATGGAATCACCCCATTAGGTTCGAGTGATCATTGGAACTAAATGACTATGAAGATTAAATTAAAAATGGTACCAGTTTAAAGGTTATATTATAAACTTTAGCTTGACACTATAGATACATAGATAATCATTGAGTTTTTCAAATCGTTCGGAACAAAACACAAGATGGTGATTCCATACTTTTGCTCGTAAGTATAGTTTAACTAACTTAGTCAGTGCCTGTGGCATGGGAGCGGCACGGGAGGTTGTTTTTTTCCTTTTGGGATGTCAAACGTCAACGAGACTTCAAAATAATATGCTTCAGTGGGTCTATAGATGACCCACGCTGAACTGTCCCGCCAAACTCAATGACAGGGGGGCGCTACCATCGTTCAACTATATGGTTTCCAACATGGCAAAAATCGGAACCAGCGATCCGGTATTGACGGTGGCGCCCCACTGTCAATGTCATCGACAGGACAGTCCAGTATTTTGGAACTATAGTCAAAATGCCATCGCAAACCAATAGGAAGTTTTCGCTAATGTCAGTCGCCGCGTCACCAGTAATTCGATTCGATCGGAAAATGGCAGCCAAAATGCACATTGAACCACCAACGACGCGGCGATATAAAAGTTCATTCAAAATCGAATAAAAGTTAAAACATGTCTATGAATTTGCTATTGTTTTTACTTTTTTTAGCTTTTTTTTCAAATTAGTTTCTTCCTTCTTTCTGCTTTCTGTTTACGTCTATTCTTCGCTGTCAAAACGACATCGCGATACGGA